GTTTCTATTTAAGTCTTTCTATGGAAGTTTTCAGCTGTCTTTTCCACCTCCTACCACCTCAAGCTACTTGACTAAGGTATTTTACTAAATATAGTTCTCTTCCTAAAATATTTGAAAGAGAGAAAGTGACAGATGACCTCCTCTTTCTCATCAATTTGGTGTTTGGATAAAGTTGATAAATGGTAATAAAGTCTATCAACTGTGTATAACTTTACAAACCCATCACTGTAAGATATTCTTATAATTACCAGTGGTAGTGACAGCCACTTTGGGAATGAAGGACCTGGGCAGAGCTTGTCACTAGAAAGTTACCCTCTGCAGGGAGGGCTGATGACAGTAACAGAGCTCTCTCCCAGCCCTCTGTCTCTTAAGCAAACATTTATTGAGTGCCTGCAGTATGCCAGGCACTGAGTCGGACACTGAAACAAGAAAAATAGCATTTTGTCCTGACTCTAAATATTCAGTTCTGAGATAAACCAGCATGTGAACAAATATATAAAATATAATAGGGTAATTTAAAGGCTCTTTGACCAGATGAGTAGAATTTTTGGGGGAAAATTAGTTTATTCTATTTTCTAACCGCCTTACCAGATAGTATAAACTGAGGCTATAACCACATAGCTCGGCGCTCTGCTGACAAGGCGTCTGAGGTCCTGCCGTGTAGAGGCTCCTAAATGCAAACCTAACTGCATGCCAGAGGGAGGGAAAGCTGGGCAATCAGAGCGGATGAATCATCCCAGGCTGCGCACTGCAGCGAGAGCCCTCTGTTCTGGAATTCATGTTTAAACCACTAAATCGCCCTCTCCCACAGCTCTCTGAGCAGTTTACCGCTCTGGTCGCAAGAGCAGGAAAGATTTGTGTGTGTTATTAACGTGTGTGAGTTGTACGGAGTATGGCTTCACACTGGCAGGGTGGATCTAAACACTGCCTGGATCATCCTGAGTTTGAATCCTGCGTGCGTCCCCCGCTGTGAGGAGCCCGCTGACCCTCCGTGTCCTCTGTCAACTGGAGGTGACGGTGGTGCTTGGCACTGTCAGAGAGCTGCCAGCGTTAGGCAAAACCTCGCCCCGTCCTAGCGCCCCATGGGCTTGGCGCTAGGGCAGTCTGGAAGAAAGCGGAGATTCGTCGACTGCAATGTTCCCGAGGTGGCAGCAGGGGGAGCACAGTCACTGGAAACGAGACCTGAGGAACCGCTGCCGCCTCTGGTCCAGGCTCCCCGTCAGGGCGGCGCTTCGGCGACCTGCACAGACCCACAGGCTGTCCGGTCCCGGAGTCCTTGCTGTCCCGCTCACTCAGGACTGGCGCGGACACTGTCTTCGTGTGTGTACTCGTCGGTCTGTCCAGCCTCCAAGTCCAGCTCACTCGAGTTTGCCCGGGAACCTCAGAGGAAGCTTGGAGGGGAGATGTAAGCTCCCACCACAAACTAAAACCAACTAATCCTCCTCCTCCTCCTCCTCCTCCTCCTC